CCCCGCCGCTCTCGCCTCTTGCTGCTGCTGCTGCTGCTGGCACAGGCGGCGGCGATCCGGCGGGCGAGGTGGGGAGGGGACGGCCGTCGTTTGACAGATCGCCCCGCAGGAAGACGCCGCCGGCGGAAGAGGTTGGAGCCCCCGAGGATCGCGGCCACCAACAGGAGGGCCGAGGCCGGCCCACCAAGGCTTTGGGAGAAGTGCTCACGCTCCGGCCCGCGGGCCGCCTCCTGGTTGGGGAGCAGCGCCCGGCATCGAGCGCGCCCACTAACTCTTTAATTGAGTTTGGACTAGAAATGGGGACAAATAAAAATGGTGATCTGTTTTGATTCATGATCCATCAAGTTTAATGGATCAATGGATATGAATATACGAATATTCTTCGACAAATCAATCCGTCGATCCATCTTTGCTTTAAACAGCTACAAAACTTGCCCCCTAAGCACCTAGAGGCACCAAATTTGCAGGGATGTTTCCTCAGATGTTTTTCTACAACTTCCGAAAATTTGGTGAACATTGGATCATGGACCCCTGGGTTATATACCCCCAGGAAGGCTCACCCCAGGTACTTAGAGAGTCCAGAATCACAATGGAGCTTCCTATGTCTTTCCCCAACGTGCCTGCCAACTTTGGTGAAGATTGGATATCGGACATCTGAGTTATTCACTCGCAAATTGGGTTCCCCCCCCCCAGGAGAGTTTACCACACGACACAGAAGCCCATTCTGCCTACTGGCTGCAGATCAGATGATCGGGGGCCAGTAGGCAGCCACCCCCCCCCCAGCCACCCCACCCACCCTGACGGACCTTTCTGGGCTTTTAGAAGCCACCCCCAAGTAGCCAGACCAACACCTTGCTCTCCACCCCTTCTTCGTGCAGCCGAGGCTTTCCACTTCAGCTGTATTCTAGATACGCGCACGCACACACACACCACACACACACACACCGGGATTCTAAGGATACCTGGGACCCTAAATCTGAGATCAGGGAGGCCCACCCTGACGGACCTTTCTGGGCTTTTAGAAGCCACCCCCAAGTAGCCAGACCAACACCTTGCTCTCCACCCCTTCTTCGTGCAGCCGAGGCTTTCCACTTCAGCTGTATTCTAGATACGCGCACGCACACACACACCACACACACACACACCGGGATTCTAAGGATACCTGGGACCCTAAATCTGAGATCAGGGAGGGTTGTGAACCTTTTCTGGGGAAAAAAAGTTTGGTTTTGCTTGATTTTTCTCTTCCAAATCCAAAAGTTAGCTTCCCTGTTCCTCCATGCGGTGACATCTGAAAAAGTCCTTAGTGTAAGTCTCTCTCTCTCTCTCTTGCTGCACAACCGAGTTGTGGTGAAGAGAAAAAAAATCTAACCTCTCGAGTCCTGAAGACCATCATAGAGAAATGGACACGCTCGCGCTAACTCCAGATGCGCCCCGCCGCGAAAGGTCTCTCCGGAATGCGCCCCCGCTCTGGACAGAGAGGGGAATTCCTCGAAAGCTCCCCCGCCCGGATCGCCTCCCTCGCCAGTCCTGGGGGTTCTCATCTCTTCTCCCCTAAGCGGCCCCCGCTGCGTCCTCGTTCACTCCCCCCCCCGGAAAAAAAAAGATCCATTTCCTTTCCTAACTAAGAGGAGAACGTGCGCGCGCGCTGCGCGAAGTCTCGCAAAGTCGAGTCTGGGAGGTGCGCACAAGGCACGGGGAGGGGAAGGGGTCCGCCAGAGTTCTGCCGCCGCCTCCCCACCGGAAGCCGGCCAGCCCTCCGCGGGCTATGCCGAGGCCCTCGACGGCCGACCTGTCAACGGGACGCGCAGCGTTCGGTGGCTCCTTAAAGGCGAGCGCGTTTTCTTTGGCGCCCCGCTTTCGTGGACTACAGCCCCCCCTTTATCACCTGCCTCTACGAAAGCTTATGGCAAGAGGCGCTCGTTCGCCTTTAAAGAGCCCCCGGGGCCCTTGGCTGTGTTGCAGGACTCCTTCAGAAGGCTGTGGGTGCCACCAGTCACCCCAAATCTGTGCAAAGAAAGTCAGGAAGGCAAGGCAGCGTCTCCCTGTCCTTTCTCCGTGCCCTCAAGACATCTCCCTTCGGACGGGGGCCTTTCCACCCCAAACCCTTCCACGTCTCAAAAATCCCCAACTTTCCCACCCCCCAAAAAAAGATTGATGGGGATGCTTAGCTACCGTTTGAAGCGCAACGCCGCGGCTTTGATCTTAAGGCATCCTTAGGAGCAAAAGTTGTAACACTCTTACGCGGATCGTGGCAGCCCTTTCGGGGCCGGGAATAAGTTTCCATCGGAGTTGTGGGGGGCTTAAATCCGAGGGAATATCCCGAGGGTCGGGGAGGCACGTGCAGCACGCCTCTCTCTGACCCCCCTCCTTCTCCTCCTCCTCTCCCCCCCCTCCCCGACCCCGATTCCCGGGCATTCAAACAACTCCACCCACGCTTTCCCTTGCTCGCAATATTTTTCTTTTTTCCGACATGCACCTTCGCGAAGCACAGCGCCGTCCGCCTGCCCACCCACCCGGCCAGCCGAGAAGATCTTCCCCCGCCCCACCCTTCGCCCCACTGACCTACCAGCTGGAGGGGGGGCCGGGTGCTGAAGTTGGCTTCAAGCAGCGGCTGCAAGCATAAATCCCAGATTTCCGGCTCGGGGTGTGGGGTGGGGGGGGAGTTGCTACCAAGCAGGAGCTCCCCTTTCGGAGCCGGCCGATCTCCTCCTCCTCCTCCTCCTCTTGCACGCCCCCCTCGCCCTCGCCTTCACGGGGCCGCGGTCCTCATCTTTCCAAAGGTGCCCCGCAACCTTTGATGGGGGGGAGGGGAAGAAGGAAAAGGGGGGGGAGAGACTTCGCTTAAACGTCGTCCATGGCAAAAGAACGAAAGCCGACTTGGTCGTCCTCTTCTTCCCAGGGACAGATGCACGCACTTTCCCTTTTTTTTTTTCTTTAAGCCGCTCAGTTCCCGCCCTTC